CCATCACCGCACGTCTCGCCTTCAACGACCGGGACTCTCGGCCACGCAAAGAAATAAACAACAAACAACATCAGTGTTTTACTTTAATTTAAACTCTAAAAATAGCCATTGTTTTGGGCTATAAATATTATGTAAAGCACACAAGTTTAGGGGGAGAGATTACTGCGAATACACACAGAAAGTCACCATAGCAAGCACAAAGAAAGTCAGAACACTTGTACAACATTTCGAAACAAGAAATAAAAGCGAGGTATATTAGTTGTTTACCTTTTGGTTCGCTTGATCCTTTGCACGTCAAATTTATCGTCCATCGTGTTGTTTTAAAAAAAAAAAATCTTTTGGCCGATGAAAAGGTGTTTTCGTTCGAGATCGTTTTGTATAGATCTACGAAAACCCGAGGCCTATTTCAAAAAAAAGGTTTGAGATTTGAGTCAAAGGAGAGAAAGGCTTTCAGAAAAACCAATTTTTTATGGGTTTGCCGCCGATGATCGGTGGCCGGCGCCGACCAACGGCGGCCGGCGAGGCGGCGTGTGGCCATGTCTGGGATTTTACGGCGGCGTGTTCTTCATTTCTGAAGAACACGCATGAACAGATGAAGGAAACGAGAGAAAGAGAGGAGAGCTCTCGGGCGAGGAAGGGAGAAATGAAGAGAAAAAAAAGGTTTTTGGGCTTTATACATAGCCCGTGCGGTGACCCGCGCGTCAACCCGACCCGGGGAAGGATCCGCGTGTTTTGTTAAAAGGGGTAAACTTCATTTTGGCTCCCTCTGTTTTGAAAAACATTCAATTTGGTCCCCAAACCGGTTGGGTAAACTTCATTTTGGCTCCCTCTGTTTTAAAAAACGTTTAATTTGGTCCCCAAATCGGTTTAATTCCCTTGGTTATATTCTGATTCTGCCATCTAACTTTATTTTGTTTCATTTTACCCCTTTATACTCATATATATTTTATTATATCTCGTATTTACTCTTTTATACATAGATATTTGGATTTTTATTTATTTACACTATAATATATTATATTCCTATTAGTTTATATATATACATTACTTATTTTTCTTTTATTACATGCTATTTATTATATATATATTACTCATATTTGCTTTTTTTTTATTTTCTTTGTTTTTATATTTTTTATGGATGTATATTTTTTTACCTATCTATTTATATTTTTATATTTTTTTTCTTTTCTATTAATACTTTTTGTTGAGTTTCACAAATTATTATATTCGTATATATTATTTTTAATTTAACTATTACTATTATCTTCTTTTTACTAATTTATATATATATATATTTACGTTATTATTATTATATATGTATACTTTTTTTTCTTCATTGATTATTTTTGCTTAATGTTATATTTTAATATATATGTATATATATATATATATATCTATGTATATACTTGTAATAGTTTATTTATATATCTATTATTATTATGTGTACATTTCAAACATTTTATTCGATTACCTTTTTCTTTACTTTGTTTTTATTTCTTTGATGATTATCTTTTTATTCATTGTAATTTATTTATTCGTTGGTTTTATGTAGATTATCAATGTTTCATTTATTTATTTTACTCTGCTTATTAACCCTTTTTTTTTCACTATTTTCATCTTCACTCTCGTTTCCCTTACTTTTCATTTTTTTATTTTCGTTCTTTAACGTCTGTATTGTTAAGGGAATTTCAATCAATCAAGGGTAAGTAGTTCAGATCGATGTTTTACCTTTTTAGTTTAACTTTCAATTCTCTTAATTAAAGACAACTGGAAATTACATAGTACCGAAAGGGCAGTTCAAGGGTGTTAATCCTTCCTTGGCTGTAATCGATTCCCGAGCCCGACATATTTCCGGTAAGACGCAGATCAGGTAAGATGGTGTCCGACCCACCTAAATTCGTTTTAAAGTGGTCGGTGGCGACTCCAATCCACATTTTTCAAGTCGAAGCCCAATTCCGGGGCCCAACCGAAAGACGGCTACGACAGTTCTTATTAAAAAAATTATGTGATATTAATATCAAAATAGTCAAATAAATATAATATAAATTGTTATACCTACAAAATAATTTTTTATGTCAATGAAAAAAAAAGGATATTTTTAAATAAATGTACTAATTTTGGCTTTACCCTCTTATTATGCAAAAGTTTAAAATTTATACTTTAATTTTATATAATATGATCTTTACTTTTATAATGTTATTTGTAGGTCCAAATTAATAGCAAAATTAGTTACTTTGATTAAATAATAACCATAATGTCAATTTTTACCTTCAATATTTGCATTAATAGTTACTTTGGTCCCACTTTTCTAAGCACTATGTTCTTAACATTTTATTTTCCTATCAAAATAATTAAATTTTATATAAAAATCGTTAATTGACTAACAATCTACACTTTTCACTAACATAACATATCTTTCGTATCTAAAATATTGTTATGATATTATCATGTCTTAAATAATAACATTACATATTTTACATATTCTAAAGGTTGACGTATTATTTTCACGTGTCCCAAATATTAACATGATATTTATCATGCTCAAGTATTCATATAATATATTCATTTAGTTTTGTTCTTTCTTGATGTCTTAATTCGAACAGTTGTAAGGTATATGTGTATTGTTGATGACTAAATTTTTTTGATAGACTACATTATAATCCCTTTAAATTATTTAAAGATATAATATATATCTTTAATTTTAAGTGCTAATATGATATTATCACGTGTGGTTATGTACTAAAATTAGAATTGGATCGAAAATAAACAGATACGTAAGAAGAAAAAAGAAACGCGGATTCCACGGTCAGACATAAAGTTAGACCAATAATGTAAAGCCACGTAAATTCTTATGCCACCAAACACTGAATACGACTACTATGTAGCATGCATGATGTGACACGTGGAAACTATTGCCACATCATCCCGTTACCATTCCCTTAGTGAATCCGCCGTATGATGACGTGTCGAGCGTTAGGAGCCGCTACTTACAGCCGAATGATGAACGGGATGACGTTTCGGGCGTGGGAGGACGGACGTGTCAAAAGAGGATCGGAACACGGAGAACACAGCACGTGACGGATACAAGTATTAGATCGACGGCGGGGATTGATTTGGAATGATGGAAATACAGTGAAAGCGAATCTAAAGTAGAGGGATTGGTCAAAGATTCATCGAAAATAGTGTGATTGAGATTCCACGGCTGATACTGACACCATCCTTTGTCCTCAATTTAGGCCACATAACACGAGATTTGCTCTCAATGCAACTTGCAAATTCTCTTACATTTCCCCTGGTCAAATTATATTTTAATCCCTATCTTATCTTTAAATTTTCTATTTAATCACTATATTTTAGTTTAACATAATTAACTTCTTTACTTTTCTAGTTCTGTTAATTAATTCAAATAACTAACATTAATAACTAATTTTGTTAAAATACTAAACATACATTAAAATTGACTAAATAAGTAGTTTATCTTACAATCAATTAGTGTGTTTATTTTTTATTTGACTTTTAAATTTAAAAAAAGACATTAAATCTTGTTTAATAAAAATATTAATTAAAATATTAAAATTTAGGGAAAAGTACAAAAATGGTACCCAACTATATGGAACTACTTTTTTAAATCATTCGATTATTAAAAATTACAAAATATTCCCTTAACTCTAGGGTGCTACTTTGTTGAGTCCCTCAACTATTAAAAATTACAAAATAGTCACCTGACTATTAATATGTTTCAAACTTATCTTTTTTTGTTAAAAAAAATGATGATCATCTGAACTTGACACTAAACCATTGACTAGGATATGATAATATATATCTTAGAATCTCAAGCGACTATACAATTCAAACGACTCTGGGATTAGATTTTATTATATCTCAGTTAGTAGGTTAGTGTCTAGCTCAGACGACGGTCATTTTTTTAAGAGAAAATGATAAGTTTAGAATATATTAATAGTCAAGTGACCATTTTGTGACTTTTAATAGTCGATGGACTTAATAAAATAATGTCCTACAGTTAGGGAACTATTTTATAATTTTTAATAATTGATGGACTTAACAAAATAATACCATATAGTTGGGTGACCATTTGTGTACTCTACCCTAATTAATAATGTTGACGTGGTAACTCATGTGGTGGTTAAGAACGTGTATTTCATGTCAACATGTTACATTTATCTTAACATGACACATCTTAACTCGTGTGATGGTTAGGAATTTGTTATAACTTTGAGAAATACATACTTATATTATTATATTAATAGATTTCATAATAAATTATTCTATAATTAATATATTTGTATACTAATCTTACTTATATCTAAATACATAATTTATGATAAAATGTTAATAAAGATTTTATAATCTTTCAATGGCTAGTGGTACCATTTGGTCATTTTATCTTGGTCGGCTCAGCTCCATGTTCAATACTCAACTATATTGGTTACACCAGCATTCTTGTCGACTGCTCCTCTATCGTCTTCTTCGAATTTATCTCCGGATATCGAACCTCTGCTCTCTACTCCTAAAGGCATGACATCGGCTGAATCATCTGTTTTAAATGTATGAATGCATGCATGCATGTATGGGTTGATTAGAAAGTGATGAAAAAGAAAGTGAAAAATCTTGATGGAGCACTGAATGGTAGCGATCGAATCTATCGTTGGAGAAAGACGAGAGATTCTCGTGGGCAATCAAACTAGCTTAACTTTGTCATTTTCCTTGTCTTTGCCATCTCTGCTGCAACTGCACATGCTTTGATTTTAATATCTTTCGTATTTGTATTACTCTTGTCGATGATATTATCTCTAGTGTTTGAACCTGAATTCTTTCCTTCTAAATCATTTATCGATTATCATTTTGATCCCTTTGGAGAGACCTTTCACGTTGGGAATTGTTTAACAATTCTTCATGGAGCACTCAGCTACATGAAGCAGCACCAGCTAGTGAAGTTTAAACAAACTCGTGTCCACTTTACAAATAAAACTGCTCGAACACGAATTACTTAAAAAGACAACATGTCACCCTTTATCCATTTTCCTTATAAACAGTTTGAATTGTTTTTCATATCGATGCAAATAGCTCACTGCCTAGAGTGATTTTTGCAGTGCCCTCACCTCTTACTGTTGTCATTTCCATCTCTTTTTCATGGATCCGTTCAAGTTCGACTGAAACCGTGTTCATGTCCGGCCGCCTTTTCCTTGGGAAACTCATGCATTGTAGTGTCAGCTTGATCAATTCCCTAATGCCATCCATGGTGAAGCTTCCGGCTAGTCGACTGTCCACGAAATCATTGGAACGCAGCCTTGATTGTACCTTCAACATGTTAGTGAGTTAGCTTCATTAACCTTGATCTTAGCATTGACAGTCGTCTCTATGTTACTCGGACTCGAGAGTATATTTATCGAGGTACACTTACCCATTGAATTAAGCTCTCATTGGATCTAAGGTAATTCCTATGCACAGCCTGCTCCTGTCCAGTTACGAGCTCCAAAAGGAACACCCCGAAGCTGTAGACATCACTCGATTCCGTGAAACTCCCTGATACTTCCACCCTGACAAAACTCAATAGGTTAAGGTTGCTCTTTTAACAACCGTAACAAAAATGAGATCAGAAAGGTTTCAGATTACTCTGGATCTCGGAATACGTTGGCACTAGACGTATAAGATGGACCAACTTCTTCGATCTTTTCAAGTAGCACCGAGGCCCCTGCATCTGCAACCTTAGCGATGAAGTCCTCGTCGACCAAGACATTGGCTGTTTTGAAATTCTTGTGTATCAAAGGAGGTTTCAGGCCATGCAAATGGCATAAACCTGCATTCAATAAAACACAATCTCCTGAATCTGAAACTTGTTATGATATTCTTGAATAAGTTTCATTTAAGTTAACCTCTAGCTGCCCCGAGAGCGATCGATAACCTCTGCTTAAACTCTAATCGAGTTGGAGCGTCTCGTCCGGTATCTGCCAAACAACAGATGAATTTGATGCATTGCATTGCATTGATGGTGATGAATTGTTAATGAATCATACCATAGAGATGATTGCACATGCTGCCGTTTGGTAAATATTCATAGACAAGCACTTGAGATCCACTTTCTTGACAGTAGCCTAGAAGACTAACCACATTTCGATGTCGAATCTCAGACAAATACGTTACCTGTTCGACCCTCGAATATGTCACATTCTATACACATATATCAATCAGACATAAACTAAATAACTGAACAGAAGAGGTTATACCCCTGCAACGAACTCTGATCGGGGAGCACCGGGATGTCTTTTGATAGCCACGACAATGTCACGAAGCAAACCTTTGTATACCAGACCGAAACTTCCGTATCCGATGAGATTACTCTCGGAAAATCGCTTGGTAGCTTGTTCCAATTCCTCCAATACGAACTGCCTTGCTCCTTGTGGTCCATACGAAGATTGGTCAGCTGATGAACTAGGTCCAGCTCCTCTGTTCCACCCCGCTGCAATGTCAGACCTGTAACTAGCAAACACGAATCCGAATAACAAAAGCTAGCTCAACACAACGAAGAACCTTACCTAATGCAGAAGGATCCGACGACCCGGTCTCCGATGTCGAATTCGAAAAGCTCTTACAGGACTTGTAAAACCAAAAGAATCCCATGACTACGGCCACGAACACGACTGCTGCTGCTGCTCCTACGACAATTGGTGAAATCTTTACCATCTTAGTCACCGGGCTCAATCATCAAACCTATTAAGAACCATAGAATTGTGAAGTTGAAGACTAGTTTTCAGATTTAGGAACTCAAAACATCATTGCCTGCAGGAACCACTTGTCCTAATGGCATCAGAGCATTGCCAACAAGTCCCTAGTACTGTTGGTGCAGACAGAACACTCAGAAACCAACAGGCCTGATCTCAAGTTAACAACTTGGGAAACTGATGTCTGGCAAGGTTCAATGCTGCTGAAACCTAGGATGAGATAATGATATCATGAACGAATGTAGAATTTTATGTTAGGAGTTTTACAAAATTCGAGAGGGAGCCAATCAAAACATCAATAAAAAGTACCTAAATTTTATAAGAAATTGAATTTTTAAAAAACGATAGCCGCTGCCAACTCTCTATTCTTCTCTGATGATTAGGATAGTAGTCATAAGACAACTCATTTTCTTGTCCACATTAGCGTCCCAAAGTATTTAAAGCATCTCATCTCATCATAGAGTGACAATGGAGACTGCTGATAGACTCCATAGCCAAAAGAAAATCTAAAATTGCCAATAGCTTAAACAAGGTTGTGTGGTTATATGTCCAAGAACTTGCTGTCATGCAAGAGAAAATTGATGTCCCCATGTGAAAATGATAATATTTACTACCACTACACTCCAAAAAAAAACACGAACACGATATGAACATAAAGCGAAGACATAATTATTGAAGGATGAAAAGAGAAAAAATGGGGAAAAGGTAGTTATGAGTGAATCAAAATGAAGTGTATTCCCTGAATTAACTCTTAAGTTTCCTTTTATTTGCTGTCATCTGATCTGGAAAGGAAAGAAAGATACCTGTTTTTAGAAGAGAGAGAGAGGACTGTTCCATAGATGGGGTCATTGACAGCTGCACAAAAACAACATACACTGCAAGTATTACAGGCTCCTCAGTTTCCTTGCCAGTACCTTCTCTTCTTTCTCTTTTTATTTTCTCAACCCTCTAATGAGTTTATATATATATATATATATATATATATATACTGATTTAAAAATATTTTTTAAGATGGATATATGTATTAAAATGTATAAATAAAATTTAAAAATGAACATTATTAATAAATGAATAATTAATATAAATAAATTTAAATTTTAAGATAATTATGTGTCCGTCCTGGAGACACATGCATCCATCACTATAAAACACTTAACGTCATCTCCTTTCAAATCGATCCGAGTGATAAGAAATTCAAATCTGGATTCAACCACGTAAAATTAAACTATAGAAGCTAAGTTATTTAATTTAAAAATTGATAAAATTCTAATAAAATAATTATACTACAAAAATCAAGTAATCAAAACTTAGTTTTACTAATTTAAAAACTGACAGTCTTAAAAAATAAATAAATAAAAGTTGGGTCATGACTTAATTTATGATATAATGTCAAAAATAATCTCCAACGTTTATCAAAATGGTCATTTTGACTCCAATTATTTTTTGAGCATTTTGACCCTGGTAGAGCACAAGGTTCTTAACCTTGAGGTCGTGGGATCGAGTCCCACGGAGGTCATTTTATAATTTGGAGGTCTCCCACTGAAGCTGCTCTCAACCTGGCGTTGGGGCAGTCTACTATCTTACCTCCCTCTTACCTCGTTACATATGGGAATAAGGGTAAGCTAATTTATACCCCATTACATATGGGAACAAGAGAGAGCCATTTTTATTTCACTTTGGGACAAAAAACTCTTTATAGATAAAAATTATTAGTTAACACACGATTAATACTCCAAAATATGAGCATTTTTTAACATAAAGGAAACATTGAGGGCTAAAATGCCCCAGAAAAAAGTATAAGAGACAGTAATTATTTTATCAAATGTCAAGGGCTTTTTGTTCTAAAATGAAACGTTGAGGGTAAAAATACTCCAAAAAATAAAATAGGTGGCAAAATGATTATTTTGGTAAATGTTGGGAACTAATTTAACATTATACCTTAATTTAATAACTTAAAAATTGAAAAATCCCTCAAAAGGTTAAACATAAAAATATCGGAATGGGAAGCATTGAATGACCTAACGATAAAAGTGAATGTTATTTTCCCTAAATGATCTAGACTCGAATAGTTGTGTCTATAAGGTGTATAAATATTATTAATAGGTTTTAAAAAAATTGAACGATGATTCCTTCGGGACCAAAGTGTTAATTAAACCAAAAATAAGGGTGGAGCTTTCACTCCAACTCAGCTTGGGAAAAAATATCATTACCTTCCAAAATTGCAACATCAAATCATTTCAGCCCAATGGGATTTACCAATAATACCTTAGGGTGCGTTTGGTTCACGGAATGTGAGATTATCAGTGAGAATAAAAGATTACAAGGGAATATGATTACTGGGAATGCTGTATTTTGTGTTTGGTTGGTTTAGCAGGAATGTAAGATTACCGTGTTTGGTTAAAAGAATAAAAGATTATTGGAATGTATATTTGACCAAATTATCCTTATTATATATTTTTTAACAAGTTGGAAAATATTTATATATTTTCTTTAAAAAAATTTAAATTCATAAAATTTATATATATTTTTACAAAATTGAAAATATAAAAAGTTAAATGAAAGGGTAAAATTTTGTTTTAACCCCTAAACTTCATATAAAATTTTAATTATAGATTTTTTTATAAATCTAAAATAGTTTAAGGATAAATTTGTAATTTAACCTTCGTAGAATTTTTATTATTCAATGACAGAATAAGGATATTTTTTAAATAAATTTTTTTAAAAGGACATTTAATCCAAAACGCAGGTAATTCAACAATACCTAAGAAAAGAGAGGTAATAACATTCCCGGTAATATACCCCAAAAAATCCACTATTGGTAATGTAAGATTACCGGGAATGACATTCGCGGCCAACCAAACGGGGGAATGTGGATTCTATTCTCATGGGAATCTCACATTCCCCCAACCAAACACACCCTTATATCAATATTTTACCCAAAAAAGTATTTTATAATATTTCAAAATCCAAATGATTAAATGGTTATTTACTTGTATTATTAGAATTTAAGGAAATATTAGGGTGTAATATTTCTATAAGTAAAAAGTTTAGGGACGTTTTATAAAATTTCCAAATTAAAGCAGATCAAATTCTATAGATAATCCCTATCACAACCGTCAATAATATACTAAGCCTTATATCCGCACCAAATAAGTGTTTAACCTATATTTATTATTTATTTTAAATATCTAAAATTTATTTTAATAAAATAGTTATTTGACGTTTATTTCGTTATTATTTAGGATGGTTAAAATTTCATTTCGTTATCATTTTAAAATTAAATAACAATGTAGTTTTACCGACAAGGACGAACAGACGATGATTGAGTAAAGAATATTAATTTTATACGATAAGGTTTAGGGTTGATGTGCAACTACATGTGATTTCGGATGACGATATAGGATGCTAAGGGATGACCAATCAATGAGAGTCGAACAATCGAAAAAGTAAGATGATAGCTAATTTGACGATGACATATAAGATTTAGAGATTTTAGATTAAGGATTTCGAGGATTTAAAATTTTTGATTAATTCAACGATTTTATGATTTTTAGCAAATAATAATTTTATGATTTTTAAAATAAAATTAAAGGAAATTAAAAAGTACGTTGCATGTCAAACATTGTTAGATAACATTTGTTTTAATAATCGTTAACGGTTAAACCCCTTAAACGATAACTTTAAAAATGTTAGACACGTACTTTTTAAAAAAATACCTAAAATAAATAATAAGTATTTCGACATATTTTAATCAATATATAAATGTTTATGAACGTATAAGTTGATAAAGGTATTTTAAACCGATTTTTGATTTTTTAATCTTAACTATTTTATTTTTCTTTTACATAACTATATTTAAAAATAAATATAATCATTTAATTAGATTATTAAAAGTAACTAATAATGTTAGGGACCAATTTATAATTTAACCTTTTCTCTTTCTATTTCAAAGCAATTCTTTCCTCATATCAGAGAAACAGGGGAGCTAGAAATTTAGATTGAAAATATAACCGGTGCAAGTCGGCTCAGATTGCCTGATCGGTGAAACACAGCCATGTATAGTGGGTCCAGTGATGGCGAGAGCCACGAGGCAGCCGCGCGACGGAACATACCGCCAGCTTCGTCGATGCTTTGGGTCCGAAATCTTCGTCGATATATCGGATCCGGTACCGGACTCGGATCCGAAGCTTCAATGGGTACGTTTCTCTTCTCTCTGCTCTTCATTGTTTTTTAACTCTTTCCACAATTCCATCCTTTTGTAGTTGTTAATATACATTCAAAGTTTCTCTCTTTTATTGAAAAATGTAAGCTTATGGTGATTTATTTTTTTTGTAATTTTGCTGAAGTGGGATTAATTTGGTTTCAGACTAAATATTTTTAGGTATTTCCTACTCAAACTTGTTTACTTGGTGCTTAAAATTTTATAATTTTGCATATTTGCCTACGCGTTGAAATGTGGAAATGTAAGCTTGTTATTTAAGAATGCATGTGATTTTGATTTTAGTTATAATTCTAGGTTGGAACTTATTTGGACTTTTAGCATTTTTATGGAACTAGGCCTTTTTCGTAATTGGGCAATATTAACTCGTTGGTTCTTCAATATCTCATATACGTATTGGTTCATGATGCTTACCTTCAGACTTGTTTGCATTTTTGGTTAAAGATTCTGGTTTAATACTTGTTATTTTACCATTGAAATCTATTCGTGTTCCGTGATGGCATTTCTGAGTTTTTTTCTTTCATTTTTGTTGTTTCTATCCATTGTAGAGCTTGAGACAAAGAAGATCTTGCTTGATTTATTTAAACAGAAGCAGCAGAAAAGTGCTGGAGTTGGTACAATACCAAGTTTCTATAAGAAGGCATGTTACTAATATTATTTGTTAGTTTTATTAATCTTCCAATCTTCTTTCATAATGGTTTCTTTTGTTTCTGTTTTATTTTCGTATTTGCTTCTTTCAGAAGCCTGAAGAAGGATCCATCAGTAATAGGGTTCAAAGGTTAGCAAAATATCGATTTTTGAAGGTAGTATTGGTCTTTCTTTGACTTTGTATTAGTTCCTAAGCTTATAGTGATCTGCTTTAATCATTGCTAACATTCTTAGTTTTTTTTTTTTTGCAGAAGCAATCCGATATTTTGCTAAATGCTGATGATCTGGATACCATGTGGGTTTGCCTAAGAGAAAATTGTGTTATCGATGATTCCACTGGCGCTGAAAAGGTTTATTCCTCGCCATCATATTCTCCTCTAGTTTCAATGAAGTGCTACTCAAAATAAAAAATGATGAACTACTTTTATTCTGTTGTTCACAATTAGTACATTATCCTTGCCTTGTTCACAACTTGACTTATGTTTTGAACTTGTAAACTTGCAGATGAACTATGAAGATTTTTGCCAGATTGCCTCCATATGTACGGAACAAATAGGTGCGAAATGCCGTCACTTCTTCAGCCCATCCAACTTCATGAAGTTTGAGAAAGATGAGTCAGGGCGAATAGCCATATTGCCCTTCTATCTTTATGTGATGCGCACAGTAAGTCTTTGTTTCTTTAATATTTCAAAGTATTACTATTTCCCCCCTTAATTATGTGCAAATCTTAGATCTGTTCCTTGCGGATTGTTGCTGCATTAGCTAATGCTGTTAGTCCTAAAATCATGACATTCGAAGAAACCTAGATATCACCTGCTTTTACTTATTAATTTATTCTTATTGAGGAAATGGTTGCTTGACTGCTGCTTATTGTTATTATTCTTCAGGTTTCTCTTACTCAGGCCAGAATAGATATGAGCGAGATTGATGAGGATTCAGATGGTTTCCTCCAACCTCATGTATGAAGTCTTTCCATCTTGAAGTATTTAAATTCTTCTTGCCTTGTGATCTCTGTTCGGATTGAATACTGCTATACAATCAATTTGTTTTTCATCATCTCACACGAGTAAAACTATAGTTACTTAACTGGCATACAGGAAATGGAGGCCTATATTCGTGGTCTTATTCCTAATTTGGCACAACTTCAGGATATGCCTGGCGCCTTTGTTCAAATGTACTGTCGCATAGCTGCACACAAGTTCTTCTTCTTTTGTGATCCTCAGAGACGAGGTCTGCATGACCTAAATTTGCTTACTATCACAGAATTGATATCCTCTCAGTGGTAACTGGTTAAGGTTTTTCCAATACAATGTTAACAATAGTATTCCTTGCAGGAAAAGCCTGCATAAAAAAGGTTCTGCTAAGCAACTGTCTCCAAGAATTAATGGAACTACATCAGGTGCATTATTGATGAATACATCTTCGAGATATTCCGTTCCCTTTTTGCCTTAGGTTTGAAAAATATTATTTTGATTTTTTCTTCTTTTCCCTCATTAAAATTCTGTTCAGGAAAGTGAGGAAGAAGTCACTGACAATGAGCACGCTGAGAATTGGTTTTCCTTGACATGTGCACAACGTGTATGTGGTGAGTGCTTTTGAACATTCTCAGTTCTGCCAGAAATCCTCTGTTGTTATTGTTTTAGTATATCCTCTCTTTTCAAAATGATAGTGATCTTTGATGGTTTAGTGGATCATAAAGTTTCTTTCTAGCTATTTGGATAGTGCTTGAGCATGTGAATAGTATTTGAGGAAAGAGTATTTGCAATAATAAATACGAACCTTTATCTTATTCTTTTGTAGATGTGTTTCTTGCCCTTGATAAAGATATGAATGGAACATTGAGTAAGCAGGAACTTAAAGAATATGCAGATGGAACGCTAACTGAGATTTTCATTGAAAGAGGTAAGATATGAGCTGTTGTTTATTTTTAAAGTACATGAGAATTCCTTATATTTGGTGTTAGAGTTTGTGACCTGAATTCCATTTTGATCCATCCCGAAAAGTTTGCGGTGCAACCCACTTGGTGAATAAATACAGCTGGGAGAAAAAATGGGGATCTGTGGTGGATGCGGAGGCTCTTGGCCTTTTTGCACATCTAATTCGTACAGGAGTATACGTCTTCTGTTAGCACTTTTGATTGAAAGTAGGAAACCTTGTTAAAGTGGATTTCTTATCATTCAAGTTTTCTTTGTAATCAAGTAATTATTCGTACAAATAGATACTAAGGATTAAAGATAGGAGTTAGCCGATTAAGCCTTGAAAGCTGCACATAGCCACAATTCTTTGGTATTCTTGTTATTTTCGACATTAGTGAATTTCTTCTCTGCCCATGTTTTTTCTCGTTTACATAAAACCTTGGTGTTTTGTTTTATTGTGCGACTGTTTTTACTGGCATTATCTCCCGTACAACATATGGTTCTCATGCTACTAGTTACTTTAAAGTCTGCATATTGTTTCAAGTTTCTCTACTCATTTGTTGCATTTATGATGCTTTGAATAGTATTTGATGAGCATGTCCGTCGTGGCAAAACTGGTGCTGGAAATAATCGGGAGATGGATTTTGAAAGTTTTCTCGACTTTGTTCTGGCCCTAGAGAACAAAGACACTCCGGAAGGATTAACATATTTATTTCGTTGTCTCGATCTTAATGGTAGGGGATTCCTCACAACAGCAGATATTCATTCTCTTTTCAGGTGAATATTTCTTTCATAAATCAAATTGATGTTTTATTTTGACTATTATGGTTCCCGGCTTTTGTTTATTATGTATATTGAGCTGTTGCTAAGAATTGAGTTTTATGAGCTACGAAACATTATCTCGAAACATGGAAGCGAAGAAGGGAAGCATCAAAGAGATGAGATGCTTCCTGATACAATCTTCCTACATAAAAACTCTGATGTTTCCTTGCTTATAGTAACTCGTGCAAGTCACAAACCTCCAGAGACATGAATGATGAAGATGGTTTAAGACTCGGAATCGAATTCCGATCTTTACTAGTAGCTCTCCTTGAACTAGGACTTCCTATTTATTTTAACATCAGCTGAAAGAATTTATCATTTTACTCTTGAAACAGAGATGTACACCATAAATGGATCGAAGGGGGCAACTACGAATTGTGCATCGAGGATGTAAGAGACGAAATATGGGACATGGTGAGGCCGGTCGATCCGTTGAGGATCACACTGGCTGACCTCCTGACCTGTAAACAGGGAGGTACCGTGGCGAGCATGCTAATAGATGTGCGAGGATTTTGGGCTCATGACAACAGGGAGAATCTTCTCCAAGAAGAGGAGCCTGAATTAGAAGCTGAATGATTACATAAATTTGACCAAAAAAATAACAGTCAAGATTATTACAACTTTTTTCAAGTAATGGAAAAGCTATTCCTTAATAAATAGTTATTCTTTTTTAAAAATAATTTACAATAATTAGTATGAAAAATTTATAAAAATTAATGAGATATGGCATTGATGCTGAAAGATGATGCGATCATCTGATCAAAGTTGGTGGATGGCAGGAAAACAATGGTCCCAAAAGTTAAAACAAGTTTTCACAGCGAAACTTTTTCTAAAGTAAATGTGAAAGAACATTTTGGTTTTGATCCCTCTATCATACTCAAATATGGGATTTAGTCACTCTACTTTTACTTTGACATGATTTAATATTCTATTTTATAATATCATTTAATTAGTCTAAATTATATTAATTTTTTTAATTAAAATTGATATTGGTATTTTCTTAAAAAAAACAACCACTTCAAACATCAAAAAATTTATGTCAACATGGTGAATTTAAGTTTAGTTAGTATTTTAACTATAATAATTAACAATATTACTAACAATTAGTAGACCTACTGAGATGAAGTGTTAGGTTAAATTCTAATACTGTAAATAGAGCAAGTTAAATTAATAGATCCCTACCTAAACGTATTGATTAACAATAAATTAAATATTAATGATTATATAAAATTTAACTATTTCAGCTAACTAATGGTAATTTAAGAATGGGAAAACAAAATTGTATTAAATTAAAATATATAGATTAAATCATAGTTTTAAACATAATAGAAGGACCAAAACAAAAGTTTGACCAGAAAATAAAATATACTGACAGCATGTGGCATCAAAGCTACTTCCTCAAGAGTCAAGACTCTATATTTTGGGTCCGTTTGGTAAGATATAATTGGTTTTTTGAAAAATAATTTATAAAAAATCAATTATATGAAAATTGTTTTACGTAAAACAAATTATATGAAAGTTATTTTAAGTAAAATGAATTATATTTTCTAGAAAAAGTTTCCGAAATTATTTTACGGTGATTTGATGATATTTCGTAAACCCTTTTTCACTAATTGTTTGAAACGCTATAATTAATTTTAAAGAAAATGATTTACATAAAATGAACAAAGTTCGGTACGGTTTAATATTTTTTAAAAAATAGGATCAATTAACGGTTAAAGAAAAAAGTTTGGTTAATTTGGTTAATGGTAATTCAGTTCGATCGATGGTCGAATTAACCGTTTGAACCCCTAATTTTAATTATTAATATTTTATTGACATAATAATAAATTATTATATTAATATTAAATGTATAAATTAATATTGCTCATTATTAATGATTTAATAATATTATATTTTTAAAAATAATAGATAATATTAATAATAATAATAATTTGTTATATATTATTAAATTAAAAATATAATACCATATGTTATTATAATATAACTGAGTTCATATTAATATAATATTAAAATTATATTATATAAATTAAATATTTTAATAATTAATATTTTCATTAAAATGAAAATATTACATTAATATTAAATAAATAAAATACTATTCAAAGCATCATAAATGCAACAAATAAAAGTATCGGGCAAAGGACCTGTCAGGTGGTTTCCATTTAGGAGCCTGTAAACAAAAGTATCATATATAAATAACCACACAAGTTCTGAAGAATTTCAAAATGACCTACACAACTTACAAGAGTTCCAGATAAAATCCCTTCGGTAAAGTCGGAAGAAAAAATGACAGTGAAAAACAAACACTGTATGCTACGAGCATTCAAACCGTTGAACTTTGATTTGTTGTTTGCTGGGTAATTCAAACGGCTCAATAGCAAACAGTTTCTTCCATTGTAACTCATGACACCTCAGCAATTTATAAATGTTATAAAGTTTAAGGACTAAATATTGATTTATACCAAAGAATGAGCCAATAGCATAAACAACATACGAGACAAAAGCGACTGTTGACTGTTGTTCTCCCATGTTCCAACATGCTTGTTGCTATCAGAGTCGAAGTGTTTACAACGACTAAATGACACAAATGCCCTTTTTGTTTACTTATTTTGTACGTCATGTTTGGTAGGCATTTTAGGCAACTTACATTGTACACGTCATCTTCATCTTGATCCTGTTTGGTAGGTATTTTAGGTAATTTATATTCTATATTGGCTTAATAGAAAAATAAGTAACTAAATAACACTTCAAAAAATGTTTTCGTATCTAAAGAATTTTTTATTAAAAATATGTGACTAATATTTTATTAGTTATATTTTTTAATTATTTACCGTTATATTTTTATTTTTAAAATTTTTAATAATAAAAATATTATTTTAAAAACTTAATTTATTTATAAAACCCCTAAACTTTTAATGAAATTATAAAAAAAACTCTAAAAAATTAAAATATCTCATTTCAAACCCCATTACCAACAGTCGCTGGCCAATTACGGCCACCTGATCACCAAACACTTGTGTTTTGATTGGAATCCCACGGTGATTCGAATGGTGGTGGCAGTGTGGCTTATGGACGTCGGAATCGACGAAAAAATTGACGGTGACTTAAATCCGACGAATCTTTAAATGTTTTTCTACGACAAACGGTGGCACTTTACGACGAACGACCAACGGGAGTTTGGTCAGGGGTTGACGTCGGTGTCGATGACGGTGACAATCACGGATGGTTGACCGACGACCATAGAAAGAGGAAAGGGGAAGGGGGAAAAGAGGAGTGGGGAACGCGGGGCAGCTAAGTTTGTTTAATAAAAAATATTTTTAATTTTTAAATAAATTCTTAAAATTACTATAACAAGAAACGTTAAGCACTTATTTTTAAGGACAATTTTTTTAAGCACTAAAAAGTTTTTCAAGGCAAAGTTTAGCCACTTGTTTTTTGTATTAAACCTTCTATATTGACCATTTCTTTTATCAAATATATTAAAATCGATATTATCATAAATTTTACATTAAAATTCATCAAAGATAATGTTCGATAATAATTGCATTGATGCAAGTATATGTGGTAATGGAATAGAAACAACTCTCAGTGCCGATGATATAGACATCATTAACTCAGGCATCCATCTAACAAAACATGAATACAGATGCAAAAGAGGAGGCAATTTTAACTCCTGTCATCAATTGTTCATGCAGAATAGAGGTGTACCTGTGTGGGTAGTCAACAAGCAAAACACCAGCAAATCCAGCACTCCTTGCATATCTTGTAATTAACTCACACTGGGCTATGTTTTCAGGATATATTTGAAGAACAGCTCTTGCTCCCCTTGCTAAGCATCTATATAATGATCCGAAAAATGCCCTAAAAAATCATGAGAATCATCACACATTAAATTTACGGAGATACGTTTTCCATTTGCATGTATGTAAAAACCTCGGTTTAATTAAAAAAAAAAAGGTATATAAGAACCCAACATACTTTAATCTCAATCTTGGCTCATGAGAAGACTTGTCAGCATTGCACAACCACTGCATGTCAAAGCAACAAAAGGGGAAAAATCATGAGCAAGAAAAGTCTTTTAACTAATTTGCCTATGAATTATGAGAACAATTTGGATAATACAGCTTATGAAGGTTCTCAGAAGTTAAAAAAATAGCTGATGGTAAGTTGCAGGCTTTAGTTGCATTTATTCCCTCCATAAAGAGAAATTTTACAAAAAGAAAAAAATGTGTCATACAAACCCGTAAAAATTTAAGAAAAATGATCAAGTCTTTCTCCATCGAATCTCCGAGCAACATTTGGTATTTTACTGTAGTCCGTAGAAACCATGAGACACAGTACACAGAATTTATTTTTATATAAATAGTGTAATTGTGCTTATTGCAGAAGGCTTCGCATATAAGCAAGGTTGGGAAGGTCCAAATAAATACAGCATTCTCGGCATTTACAGTCACAGATAGGATGCTTAACGATCTGAAAGTGGTTTGGAAGTGTACACCCGACCATTGTGCCAGGCACAACTTCAAAATCGAATTTAACACTAGCAGATACTTGATAATGACCCAAACTAAACTATTATCTTCTTCCACAACCCCAGAAATCTAAGACAAACAACAAATCAGGCTCCCATTGGATATGTGGGGAATTCTAAAGTAACATTTATTTACCTGAACAGCAGAAATACTTATAGCCCCATCAATAACTCAAGGTCGAAGTCCTAAGCCCTGTAACATAAACATGGCATAATGAAGTCTTCATTCCTGAAACATTTGTCGGGAAACAACAGCGATACAGTCAGTTTAATTTGAAAAGATTTAAGGATTCGGTAAATACCTGGCCCATATCACCAAGTAACAAATCACCCTTAACCTCATTTTGCAAAGCAACATCTACAAATCAAAACCAACAAAATGAAGAAAAAAACCCTTAAAAACACATACATTATAATTGTATCATCAAATTAATTTAGAAAACTTACTAAGCATTGAAGGGGAAATGTCTAAACCAATCCATTGGTGACCATTCTCAGTTATTGTCTCCCCACTAAGCCCTGATCCACACCCTAAAATAACAACGAAATATTCCAAATTAAATATTCAAAATATCTTGTCACTTCATTTTATATTTCGTTTGAGAAGAGAATTAAATGTACATACCAATATCAAGGAGCAGCCTGGGGACTCCATCAGGCAAAGCGAGAAGCTCCAGTGTTCTCTCAGAAAGCTTTGCCTATTTTTATCCACAAAATGTCAAATTTTGGTACTTTTTTAGTTCGACTGCTAATATAATCCTAAAGAAAATAAAAAGAAAAATAATATATTTTCAGCTGAACCTGTATCTCAGCAGTACGTGAAGAGGAAGTGTATCTCCGAGCTTCCGAATCGTCGTAGAAAATCTCCGGCGGGGCTTGCAACTCAGGCCGACTCGACATCTTATTCACTCAAATTCTCCTTTTTATAAGAGGAAATTTCGGTGGAGATCGGGAGAATGTAAAATGAAAAATAGAGGGTGAAACGGAGGATAAAGCAAAGGTTAGAGGCAGCACTCCAGCAACGGCGGTGGCGACGCGAGAGAGTTTGAGATAGTGAAAAAGGACGGCTGGAGGTTTTAAGGGTTAAACACGAAACCCACAATTAGTTAACTTTGTCACCTTTTTAAAGTTAAAGGTTAATTTTACCATATATCCTCAAACTATAATCTAAGTTCTTAAATTGGTCTCAAATTTTAAGAATTATGCTCTACAACTCTAATTTTCAAATCTTGTGCTGCTTTGTCCCCCTCCCCCAAAGAGCCTCCCAGTAAGTCATCTTCAAAGTCACTCCTATATAAATTCCATAGGCTTGTCCACTTGATAATGTCCTTTCCAGCAAACTTTTGCAGATGCCACTTAAAATTTGGAATCTCGGTAAAATCTTCTGTCTCCAACGTTGAACGAAGAAAGGTTGATTTCACTGGATTAGATGGAGCCAGGACTATGTACCAACAGATTTTTCTCAAAATCTGTTTACGCATGGCTCCATCTTCTGTGATCAACGGAACCCCGTACATTGCCTTGTAGCAAATGCAACATTCAAGGTAGCTACTGTTATGAGAATGAAACCTATGCATCTGCTCATAATAGATGTGCTTCAATTCAGGCAGTTTAGGTATACCAATAGTGTTGGGTCTCTCTTTAATTGGAAAGGTTCTAGAAAGTTCTAGAGCTTTCTGGAGAAGTGTAGAATTTTCTAGAACATTCCGGATAACTCTAGAGAAGTGTAGATCTCTCTAGAAGCTTGTGGAAGAATGTGGAATCCTCTAGAATATTCTGGAGATGTGTGAAACCTTATGAAAGAGTATGTAAGGGAGTGGAAGAGTATAGAGTTTCTTAGAGTGTGTGGAGCATTCTAGATAATTAATCTCCACCCTTGGACGTAAGTAATCTCCACCATTCATTGTGGAGGTAGAGTAGTATAAATAGGGGTGAGAGGCTTCTTTCCCAATCATCCAAGAAATCTAAGCTTGAGAAACTAGAGAGTTAGAGAGCCTCTTTAAGAGAGAAGAGAGATAGCTTGAGAAGTCTTTATCCTCAAGCTTAAGCGAGTCACCAAGTATGAGTCAAATTTTGTGAACATATCATTGTAATCCTACTATTCTTTTGTATAGTGGGAGAATTTCCAAATTGGAGAATTATACTCTTGTGCTCTATTTACTATCCTTAATCTCTAAGTGCACATTTTAACTTCACGAAGCGGGAAAGACCGTGATTCCCAACAAGCTAAAGGTTCATCTACATCACCACCAGGAGCCTTCTTCTCCTCCACGTCCATACTTGTGATTGGATGTAAGACTGGTAGTTTGAATTAGAACTTCACATATAAACATTAAATTTGATTTACAAGCTAAACTCTGCATAGATGTACAAAGAAAGTAAAACAAGCTAAGCTCGAGCAGTTTTTCTACTAACAAACATAGCAATAAAAGTAAAAGTTAGCATACACGAGAAAATAGATGAAAATTGCACATAAGAATACTGAAAACCTTTAGTAATCATTCATCAGATGAATATAAAAGTAAAATGAAAGATGTTTGATCGAATATGTTGAAAAGAAAATTATTCATCCCACAAACTTCACATATTAACACTAAATTTGATTTCTCCAAAGCCCGGTGTTAATAGCAATTCTGCAAATATGAGAATCTTTAAACTAAAACCTCAAAACCCCACAATCAAAAGATAACATATAACCTAAAAATGGTTAATAATCCATCAAAAAGATCATGAAACTGGATTCTTTTAGCATAAAAGACAATCTTGTTGACAATCAAGTTCCTGATTTTCCAATACAAAGCTATCTTTAACCCAATTACTAAAGAAGCATCAGCTAAATGCTCTGTTTCTTGGATATTCAAAGAAAAATAACAAGTCTTAAGGCCTATGTTTCTCAATTCTTCCCTAATAATTAAATAATGTAATTCAAGAAATCTAATTACACTTAATTCAACGACATATACATTTGGGAATAAATAACCATGAAAAAATAAATTTAAATAAATATCAAGTTATCGATTCAATTTAAAGAATTATTGGGATTAAAGGAATGCCTTATCACTGCTAAACGTCTGGGAATCAGCAAGCTAATTGTTGAAATGGACGCCAAATTTCTCGTGGAAGCTCTAAACTAGGATATTACCGGAAATGACCATCAAGCTCAGTTGGTAGAGCACAAGGTTCTTAACCTTGGGGTCATGGGATCGAGTCCCACAGAAGGCATTTCATAATTCGGAGGTCTCCTACGGAAGCTGCTCCTAACTTGGCGTTGGGAGCCAGCCTAACTATCCTACCTCCCCTTACCCTATTACATATGGGAATAAAGGTCAGCTAATTTTATACCCTCCTAAACGAATGTGAGGATTTAAAAGACGGGGATTGGATAACATAAATCAGGCATATTAAAACAAATGTGCCAGATTTATTGGCCCTGGAAATGGAAGTATTTTCATAAAGACCAACCTGAGGAGTTAGTTAATTCCATTACTTCTAGCTGAGAAAGCAGTTTGAGAGTTAATTCCATTACTTCTAGCTGAGAAAGCAGTTTGAGATTGTAACTGAAAAGGGCATGAAAATAAAAAGGATTTGATTGTAGTTCCTCAAAATATTTAAAAAAAAATAGTGGGAACAGAAAATTAGTTGAAAACGTGTTAAATTTATTTTTATCACTTTTTGTTATTTCTGGTAGAAAGAAATTAAAACCTTAAACCTGCCTACATTTTTATGTTTTTCTTTATTCATAATCGAAACATGCTACGTTTATTGGTCGAAACATTATATAGGATTAGATTTATATCGTAAAATTAAATATAAAATTCTCATAAAACAGACGAAAAAGTATTGAACAAAAGAAATTCATTCATGATCATATGATTAAAGTTACGGAAACTAAACATTTGCACATAATTTATTTTCTCTCTTATACAATTATAATCATATAATTTATATACTGGATTTTGATTAATCCATTTCTGACCACACTCATGTTTCTCAATCCAAGTTACTGGTCAAAGTCACTCCGGTTGAAGACGGCCATACATTTATGGCGATGAATTGATTAAATCAGGCATATTAAACGAGAGTGGAACAAATGTGCAGATTTATTGGCCCTGGAAATGGAAGGTTTTCTTAAAGACCCACATGAGGAGTTCGTTAATCCCGTTAGTTTGAGATTGTAACTGAAAAGGGCGGGAAAATAAAAAGGGATTTGATTATACTTCCTCAAAATATTTAAAAAAAAATAGTGGGGAATATGGTATTAGTGATATAGACTCGTCTTTGAAAATTAGTTGAAAACTAGTTGAAAACGTGTTAAATTTATTTTTATTATTTCTGGTAAAAAGAAATTAAAACCTTAAACCTGCTCACTTTTTTATTTTTTCTTTATTCATAAATCGAAAGATGTTATGTTTATTGGTCGAAACATTATATAGGATTAGATTTATATCGTAAAATCAAATATAAAATTCTCGTACAACAGAAGAAAAAGTATTCAACAAAAGAAATTCATTCATGATCATATGATTGAAGTTACGGAAACTAAACATTTGCACAATTTATTCTCTCTCTTATACAATTACAATCATGTAATTTATATATTGGAGTTTGATTAATCCATTTCTGACCACACTCATGCTTCTCGATCCAAGTTACTGGTCAAAGTCACTCCGGTTGAAGACGGCCATACATTTATGGCGATGAATTGATTGATCGCGACTTCATCGCGCCCTATAACGTACAATTCCGGTCACGTTATCCTTCCGGAAGTTCCTGCTCCGGGTCCTGAATTCGCATACATGGCAAAGTACAACAATTTTGAGTAAGCCCATTTTCCGGACCACTCGATCCAACCTCCGGAAACGATAGCATTGTCTATAGTCGATTCCATCACGATTGCTCTCGAATATTGTTTATTGGGCCTTCCTAGCTATGAGTTGAAGCTATGCATGAGGGGAGAAGAATTTGCATTTGGCACGATTCGGCAATTCAGAATTACAAAGTCGGTGTTTTGTCAAGGATCTGACCTCCCATTCGCTATTATCACATTGTAGCTGCCACTGCGAGGACGTCGAAGAGACAACGTGCAGCTTTGGAAAACCGCGGCAGCGTTTTCGAATATGAAATCGGTTGTGCCGTAAATGTCGAATTCCCTATAGAAATGATGCAAAGAAAGTGCGTATAATGTGTCCTAGTACCCTCCGATGGTGCACCTCTAGAGCTAAGGCTTGTTCTCCTGGTGGACCGGCCGTGTTTTGAAATCTGATATCCCGAGCCATAAATCCGTCCCCTGTAATAACTGAAAAATCAAACGGAAATTAGAACGTGATAGCACATGGAGGACTCTTGACCCCATCTTTCTTCGACATTAATGATACTCTTGATCTTCTAAGATCTTGTTAATTAATGATACAAATTATACATTTGGCCATTTACTAAGGACCACTTCATTAGTTTCAATTAGTATCATAGAAAGATCAAATCGTTTAGAAGATCCCTGTACAATGGACTTTTGGTGAATTTAATCCCTCTACTTTCCGAGTTTTGTATTTTTAGTCTCGAGGCCAACTATTTTCAGTGGATTTTATCAGATAATTTGTATTTAGGACTGAAAATACAAAAAAAAAAGCGTAGAATTATAAATTTTCAAATTATAAAAGGACTAAATCTCCAAAAACACAAAATACATGGACCTAATAGAGAATTTGACCTTTAATAAAGAGAGAGAAAAAAATCTCACTAAATGTGGCGGACCCGGGCATGCCAGAGCCACCATAGACTCTACCACCACCGACGATGATAGTGTTGTATTTGTCATCTCCGATCAACGTAGTACTATCTTTATGAGTGGAATTTTTTTGTTTGTGGGACATGCTCAGCAGCTCTTGACAGTATCCTACATGGTGGAACATTGTGTTAAAAGAAATTATATAGGTCAAATTATGGTTTTAGTTACTTTAGTTTACTCGATTTACATTTTCAAAGCCAATTTTTTGGGTCTAATAATAATTTAGATCCTTATGAATTTAAATATTAAATAAATTAGGAGTTGTGCACTTTGAATAAAGAGTTTAAATATTAAGCAAGCCTATATTTGCACTCTCGGTCTTCCCCATATGCCCTTTTCTTCGAAGACATCCCCAAAACTAACCATTTGAGCATCAATCCACCGCCAACAAGACCTAATTCTCTAACTAACAAACTCAAATATTAAAACCTACTATTTTTTATTAGTTCGGGTCAATTCTAATTGTTTATTAGTATTTCTAAATCGTTACATACACTAATGGTCCCGTTTGATAGGTTGTAATTGATTTTTCTAGAAAATGGTTTAATAAATTACCTGAAAATTGTTTTGCGTAAAACATAAAAATTGTTTTACATAAAATGAATTATATTTTTTAGAAAAATAAATTTCGAACATTTTTTTACGGTGTTTTGATAATATTGTGTAAATCATTTTTCACTAATTGTTTGAAACACTAATTAATTTTATAGAAAATGATTTACATAAAATGAACAAATTTCGGTATGGTTTAATATTTTCAAAAAAAAACGGTTCAATTAACGGTTAAAGGAAAAAAATTTGATTAATTTGGTTAATGGTAATTCGGTTCGATTGATGGTCAAATTAACCGTTTGAACACCCTTAATTTTAAATATTAAAAATACTAATAATTTATTATATAGTATTAAATTAAAAATATAGTATCATACAGTATTATAATATAACTTAGTTCATATTAATATAATATTAAAAATATAATAGTATTAAAATTATATTATATATATTATATATTTTAATAATTAATATTTTATTAAAATATTACATTAATATTAAATAAATAAAATAATATTTTTTGAGTGATTATAATTTAAAGCGAAAAGTTAGGAAAATATTTTACCGAAAATCAGATGATAAAATATTTTATAAAAAATACAGAGGAGTTAGTAAATAAATTATATTAAAAAATCAATTATAACTATCAAACACCAAAAACATTTTATTTTGTAGAAAATACTTTCCAACTATCAAATAATGAAAAATATTTTCCAACTATCAAACGACCCTAAGCCAAATCTCCCACCCTAATATTTTGATTTATTATTTACAAAATACGTGATTATGGTAAAATAAGATTGAAGTAAAAGGTAACCATTGGTAATTAATTTACCTATCACTATACGTAAGCCACTGCTTTATTTTCCTTTTAAAATTTAAATTTCCATTGAATTAAACTTTTTTCTTCCCTTTTCTTTACCTTCTCCTCTTACACAAAGTAAGTTTGTTTTTTCCTCGATTTGTTGATCTGCCACTCGATCATAGAGAGAAGATAAAAACAATAAACTGATATTGAAGTTGGTAAAAGGCTGAATTTTTAAGTGGAAGGAAATACAAAGATGGGGTTTCTCTTAGGGTGTGAAAGTAGATATGTTTTTGGAGTAAAATTGTTGAAGAGTTGTGTTACAGTTTAGGGTTTTCAATTCTGAGTTTTTGTTTTTATTAATATGGGTGGGTGTTTTCCCTGTTTTGGATCATCAAACAAGGAAGGGAACAACAATGGTGGGAGCACTCTGAAAGAACTCAGCAAGAAGGTTCAACTAAAGATGGCTCAGTTGCACAGTCTCAGCATGTTCACAGAGTTAGCTCAGGTGAGAAGGGTTTTCGTTTTTCTTAGTTTTTTATAAGCTGGAATATGTTGAATTCTGTGTTTTTCTTAGGTTTGTTTTCAAGTTTTTGATGATGAATGGATAGTTGTTGGAGTAATTTGCTTGTTTGTTCTGATTCATTATGGTTGTTTCTGGGTTTTTGATTGATAGCACTTTGAATTTTGCTCTATGGAGTTGTTTGGGAGCTCTTCTCTTAGGTTTCGGAACGAAGATTTTCGCGTGCACGCATGCACTATTGTACCATGATTGTTAAGCTACCGTAAGCTAAATGCTATAGTAAATGCATTGTAAGTGAGAATTTGGAATATTCATAAAAATGACGTAGAATGTAGTCGAATAAAGGTTAAGAGGTTTGCTTAAGATTTCCCGTATTCGGCTTAGGATGTAAAATGCGGTGTCGGAGTCATATACCCGATCATTCGAGACTTCATTATTGGGGCTATTTTCGTGTGCTAGAGAGATAAGTTTACTTGTTCTACTTGTAAGTGGTGTATCACAGTGCTCACTGTCAGCCGCAATTACAAGGATATGACCTTTAACTTTTGTATCTTCCGGCTTTCATTTTATCTAATGTATCTGATTCCCTACTTTGGACAGACAAATCGAAATCTCGGACCGGTTCTGATTCTAAGAAAGAACCTGCAGTGCCTAAAGATGGACAGACAGCAAATATTGCATCACAAACATTCACCTTTCGAGAGCTTGCCTCCGCCACAAAGAACTTTAGGCAAGAATGTCTATTAGGAGAAGGTGGTTTTGGACGTGTTTACAAGGGTCGGTTGGAGAGTACAGGACAGGTCCATTACAATGCTTGAACTTAAGTATCTTGCTCTATTTGAAAGACTTGGGATCCCAGTCTTGTTAAATTTGCCCGTTATAAACTTTGTAATGTTTTACTTATTTTGAATTATGGATGTGAATCATGTAGTTTAAGCGATTCTTTAATAACTGTTCTATCATTTCAGGTTGTTGCCGTCAAACAGCTTGATAGAAACGGGATTCAGGGAAATAGAGAATTTCTGGTTGAAGTTCTCATGCTTAGCCTCTTACACCACCCGAACCTTGTCAACTTGATCGGCTATTGTGCCGATGGAGACCAACGCCTCCTCGTCTATGAGTTTATGCCTTTGGGTTCATTGGAGGATCACTTACACGGTAAGGATGGCATTTGTAATACTTTACAATCCTCTAGCTTTTGGTTTGGTTGCACTTTCGACTTGAAAACCGAAAGACACTAGGATTAATTATAAAATAGTTCCATGTCGGTGAACATACATGCTTTTTTTTTCTTTTGGCGGTCTTCATGAGCTTCAATAGTTTGGTTTAATGAATCGTAATGTAGGGAGAACGGTTTTTGTTCCACTGCACAACTGATTGATTTTGGCTTCATTTATGCTGCTAGACCAATATATAACTCGACATCCATTTGCATTGGTGACTGTTCTCTTCCTTGAGCCGGTTTTGAGCTCTCAGAAGTACGGGTAGCTATGGATAAACGAACTTGCGACTTTATATTGGCAAATTCTGCTTTGGTTAGCCTGTTAGCTTGCTCTTGTTTAGTTATTTAACTAGTCAGGTTGTCAAAATAAAGTGCATTGTGTTAAATTTGTTTTCAGATCTTCCGCCGGACAAGGAACCTCTGGACTGGAATATCCGAATGAAGATTGCAGCTGGTGCAGCCAAGGGATTGGAATACTTGCATGATAAAGCTAATCCTCCTGTTATATATAGGGACCTGAAATCATCCAACATCCTTCTACATGAAGGCTATCATCCTAAATTATCGGATTTTGGGCTTGCAAAATTGGGTCCTGTTGGCGATAAAACCCATGTCTCCACACGAGTGATGGGCACTTATGGTTATTGTGCACCGGAATATGCAATGACTGGCCAGCTCACCCTAAAGTCTGATGTCTATAGTTTTGGAGTGGTCTTTCTCGAGCTAATCACGGGACGCAAAGCCATTGATAATACACGTGATCCTGGAGAGCATAATCTTGTTGCATGGGTATCTTTTTTCTTCTAAGTTCTAATGTCTTATGCAGAATGCCTCTTATATTTTATTTTGTTTGTAGGCACGGCCGCTTTTTAAAGATCGTAGGAAGTTCCCAAAAATGGCTGATCCACTGCTGCAAGGTCACTATCCGGTGCGAGGCTTATACCAAGCTCTTGCAGTTGCTGCTATGTGTTTGCAGGAACAAGCTGCAACGAGGCCTCTAATGGGTGATGTTGTGACAGCCCTAACATACTTAGCCTCACAAACCTATGACCCAAATGCGCCTAGCAATCAAAGTAACAGAGTTGGTCCATCAACTTCGAGACTCGAGGATGATCAAAGGAGTATGGAAGATGGGTTGGACAGCCCAAATGAGCGTGTACAGCACAGTTCCCCTTCGACCCACAGGAATTCACCCGATTACAGGAAGAGAAATCATGCTAGGGAAATGAGCACCAGTGCACATTTGGGTAGGAACGAAACCGGTGGGGGCTCAGTGAGGGAATGGGGTTTGGATGATTCAGAACATGAATCTCACAGTAACTGCCCTCTGAGTGCTCTGAGAGCGAGGGAAACTCCACGTAATCATGATCTCGACAGAGAACGTGCTGTTGCAGAGGCTAAAGTATGGGGTGAGAATTGGAGGGAGAGAAAACGGGCAAATGCAATGTGCAGCTTTGATGGTACAAATGACTGACGTTGCTGAATCCATTCCATTTTGCTCTTTCAAGCATATACATGTTGCATCGTTTTAAGGGTCGTCAAAGGGAAAAGAAGAAATGTCAAATCCTTACCCGTCTCCACTTCTACCTCCAAGAAATTAGAGCTTATCCCTCCTATAATCATTCTTCTTGTTGAAAGAACCACAGTTAAGAATGGGACTAAGAGCAGTTGACTTATTTGGTGCATTAACAAGTAATTTCCTCTGCCATGACAAAATGCTTTATGCGACATATTAATCGAATGGGACTAAGAGCATTTGACTTATTTGGTGCATTAACAAGTAATTTCCTTTGACATGACAAAATGCTTTATGCTTGGTTTACTTCTTTCTTTTTTCCCTCAAGATTCATGTTACAGGAGATGTTGGAATATCTCGTTGGTGTTGTTGCATCTTTTGTAATGGTACACCTTTTCTTATATATGGATTTGTCGTCGGTCCTGCTTTAGTTTATACAAGAGTTTTGAAGACGACTGTTTACTTAAGTGCACCAATATGAACGTGGCATATCATACAACTTTCTTAACCTAACAAAACTAACGCGTCAAAGATACTAATTAGACCTTTCAGGTAGTACAGGATAATTAGTTTTGTCCAATCATTCTGAAGAATGTAAAAGCCCATACCAAAATTGCAAACTCCACCCCCAATTCCTCATCATTCATATTTCTCCTCTAAACCCCACAAAATCTGAGGCTTTTTAAACAAAAAAAAGTCATTTCTTTTTTCCCTGCAAAATGAGACATACCACTGTTATATTAAGGAAATAAAGGAAACAATCTTGATCATCATATCCTAAAAGTTTCAGGTGAGAATCGAACCGAGACCACATAATCATCCATCGACAGCTGTTTCGGCCTTTTTAATTGAGCAGGACTCTCCGTCAGCTGCCTACCACTGCGCTTTGATGGTGTCATGTTCTGAAATGTAGAGATGCAGAATCATGATAAGAAAAAAAATCCCAACTAGAATAAACATAGTAACCAAAGATATACACAACCTTGGCAAGTTTCTTCTCCTTGCGTGCTTGTCGCTCCCTCTCATCATATTCTTGGTTTTCCTTCTCAACCAATCGGATGAGGGTATCACATCTCCTTGCAAGCTCTTGAGTTGTCCGTGACTTCACGAACCAATCAAATCGAAACATGGGAGACGCTCGGAATGCTGCCTTCAACTCATCCCAATTCCCATATCCAAGCTTGTGAACCATGCAGATCTGTTATACATACGAAGCAGAGGCATAAATAACACAAATAATTTCAAGTTGGACCGAAAAATAAATCATGTGATGGAAGAAGACTAAAAGACAAACCATGAACCGATCACATTCTTCATTGTACAGCTTCCCTTTGTTTTGACCATACTGGATCTTCATTTCCAGCCATGGGTTCTTGTAGCGATCCAATTTCTTGCCAATTGCTTTCATGATCTCATCTTTTCTAGTAATCCTGGCTTCCCCTCTTTCAATGTTTTTAATTATCCTATCATAATCTGTAGTATGATAAAACTCGATAATTATTATTGTAGCACTAAAACCTTGTTCAGAACCTAGGAAAACGATTACCGGTTAAGGGCACTTGATTGAAACCTTTCCGAACAAGGCAAAAGCAACATGATATTAGATACCACTTACCATTTAACTCCTTGTATCGTTCTTTAAAAACTTTAGCATATCTTTGAACTTCCTCCTCGGTTTTCCCTTCCATTTCAGAAGCAATACTTTTTATATCATTTCGTCCGTACTTCTCACAAGCTCTGATGAAAGTATTGAAATCTCTTCGGCTCCATGAAGAAAACCCCTGATGCACCCAAACATTAAGTAACCAATAATATAAACATAACCTAGTCTTGGCTCAGTTGGCACGTTGCTGCTGGGGATTTGAGGGGTTTATGGATAGTTAGAAAGTATATATACATATATAAACATAACACAAATGCATTCCACTCACCTCTTCTAGTAGTTGTTCCTTTTCTTCCAACTCTTCAGCAGTTAACGGATCCCCCCCTGCTAAGTAGAAGAGACTTAATTAAACAGGCGTAAAGAAGTTAAGATCGTGTAACATAAAGAACGGAATATATGGTAAAAGTAAAATACCTTCAGGTTCAGCCTCATCAATTGTGTCCTTTACCTGGTTCTTCTGATGGGTTTGCTGATTTTAATGAAAACAATCTGGTCAGAAAATCAATAACAACCAACAGCAATTCCATGGTGGAGAATATGGAAACTGGTATTTGCTCAATTCATGCATACCATGAGATAGCGTACTTCTTTCTCGTACAACTCATTCAGCCTCTGAGTGTTAAAAAACTGGAAATCGTGCCTGAGAAATTGAAATATTTTGTTAGCTACAATATCTAACTGAGCAAACTATATAGCAAAACATTAGTTTCAGAAAGGACATACAGTTGAGGCATGCGAGGAATTCGTGGCTCCTTTGGCTTTGCTGGAGCACCTTGGCGCATGGTTTGTTTAAAGTACTCAGATTCTGAGTAACTAATAAATGGAAACGAAAAGTATATGTCAAATACAGATTAAAGATGCGTAATGCAAAGTTTAAGTATAAATGCTGAAATTAGAGACTCACTTTCGCTTTCGCTCTCTTTTTGGAGGCTCAATCCAATTTTCAGTTGCAATTTTCTTGAAGTCAAACTTGTTTTCATCCTTCATCTAGAAGAAGCAAAAGCACCAATCAATAATGGGCAGTATAAAATGCTAGACTTAGAAGAGATCAAACAGAAAGATTTGGGACAAGAAGCGAGAAAGATGTTTTAACCTTGTCATCGTCAAAATCATACAGTTCAGCAGCTACAGAGACAAGAATGTCAAAATCTAATTATCTTTTATAACAACTTTAAATAAAATTAAAAAAAAACAAAGAAAACAAGAGCAAGAGAGGCATACTATCATCCATCTTAAATTTAATAGCATCCTCTGTAAACTTCTTCATCTTTGCATCAAGTTCAGCCGTTGCTGCTTCACCTTTAGCGATGATTCTATCAATGTCTTCATCTGTAATTGTGCTATCCTTGGAACTAAAGACCATTTCAGCACCAAACCTCACCATTTGAAGCAGCTCATCTTTGTTAACAGCTGCAACAAGCAAGAAGATATTGAAATGATACAGATATAGACTCAGCAAAGAAATATTGCATCAAGCAAACAATTGCACAGCAAGGGAAGTTGCTTACTCTTCTGCTCTGCTAACCGTCCTTGTTGAATAACCAGGGCATCTAGGGCAAGCTTTTTGTAGGCTCTCTCAATCACCTTTTCCTCAATAGTGTACTGTTTCATGATAAACAAACAAATAAGTATGTCATAACAAAGGATAACTTGTCAACTAGCATACATTGAGAATATCCAGACCTCTGTGCAAAAGCGGAACACTTGAACTTCCTTCTTTTGACCAATTCTATGAGCACGATCCTGGGCTTGCAGATCAACTTGTGGGTTCCTGCAAGATTCCACTTGTATCGCCAATCGAACAAGAAATAAACATATATAATAATAAATGAAGGAAGATGCTTACCAGTCACTATCATAAAGGATGACAACATCAGCTGTAGCAAGATTAATACCAAGACCTCCAGCTCTAGTTGATAACAAGAAAACAAATTTCTCACTTCCTGGCTTGTTATAGGCTTCAATGGAAGCATCACGGTCATCTCCACCAGTATTACCATCAATACGGCAATACTGGTACCCACGGAACATCAAATAATCTTCCAGAATATCCAGTAGCCTTGTCATCTGAATGGAATAAATACCCACAGCAAAATCATTAACGTGGAAATTGGAAAATAATGAAGACATGACATTTAAATGATGTAAATAAAAATAAATTAGAAGAAATCACAGGGAAATGTATCAATATACAAATAGGTAATTCTAGGCAACCCTAAAGATTACCTGAGAAAATATCAGAACCCTAGAATCACGCTCCTTCAGTTTTGGCAGTAGCTTGTCCAACAGAACCATTTTACCTGGAAATAAATAAGGTCATCTTTCATGCAACAACAATGGATTCAATAGTTCTAGGAAGTAAATTTACCAGCATTGGTTATAAGATGATCTCCTGTAGTATATGGAGGTCCAGGTTCAGCACCTTGGAAAAGATATGGGTGATTACAGCATTTACGCAGCTGCATTGCAATATTCAGAAGACGCTTACGCTCTCCACCAGCATTAACAACTTCAAGATCTTTTTGCAGTAAAGCCTTATAGTATTGTTTTTGCATCTGGGACATTCCTACTTTCAGGATAGTTCCTTTTTGGGAGGCAAACCTTTCTCAACATCTGATTTCAATCTCCTAAGGAGAAATGGCCGAAGGACCTAAAGATGTGGAGACAAAGAATCTTAATTATCTGTACAAAACCATAATCAAGACATTAATAGGTATAAGATTTTAAACTTGCCTTGTGAAGCTGTTGAACAACTTCCTGCTCATCATTTTCACCAGAAATCTGAAACCACTGATCAAAAGTTTCTGCAGAACTAAAAATCTCCGGCAGTAGAAAGTTTAGAAGAGCCCAAAGTTCATGGAGATTATTCTGCACCCCAGAGAGAAAAAACCAAGATTACCACATATGCTAGAAAACACCATGAGTGCAAAACAGAATTATCAAAATCCATTCAGTTGGCAACAAAAACTGATCTCTCCAAGGAGATATGAGATCAAAAAAAGGTACAATTTAAATGCAGGTTCAGTACCAGAAAGTGACTTAGGAATTTATACTGCAACTATGCAGAGCATACATCGTGAATGAAATGAGGCTTATAAACTCAGTAAGTACTTCCATAGCAACACATTCTAGTGCATACCTGAAGTGGAGTACCAGTAATAAGAAGACGGTAGTTAGTATTGTAGAGCCTCATTGTTTTTGAAAGGAGTGAATTCTCATTCTTGATTCGATGGGCTTCATCAATAACTATATAGCGCCAACTAAAACGACGTAAGGCAGTTTTCTCCTTAATGGCCATTTCAAAACTCGTGACACAGACATCAAACTTCCCAGCAACCAGTAACTCCTCACGAATGTATCTCTGTAGAAATTAGAAGACATAAGAATCATAATAAAGAGTTAAAATAAAGAGTCATCACTGGAGCATTCATCAAGCAGCTTACTCTTTCTTC